TGAAGGGGGCTGGCATCGGGAGGCCACTATGGCACGGGGCAAGCACTATGGGCAGTCTATCTGAAGTGTACCTGGCGTATAAGACGACCCCCCACTTGGAGGCATATTTTTCAGGGCCAAAAAATCGTCTTATATGCCAGCAAATACGGTAAATTGTGAAATTCTGTAATTACTTTATAACATCTTTTGATAATTATTATTTTTAAATATGTTTTTATTGAGTTTTTTTTAACATTTTTATTGATTTCAGAGAGGAAGGGGGGAGAGAGATAGAAACATCAATGATGAAGAGTCATTGATCAGCTGCCTCCTGCACGCCCCCTATTGGAGATCGAGCCCGCAACCCAGGCATGTGCGTGCCCTCGACCAGAATCAAAACCAGGACCCTTGAGTCTGCAGGCCAACACACTATCCACTAAGCCAAACCAGCTAGGGCTGTTTTTATTGAGTTTTAGAGAGGGAGAGGGAGATAGAAACATCAACAAGAGAGCAATATGACTGATCAGCTGCCTCCTATTGGTGACTGAACCCACAACCCTGGCATGTGCCTTGACGGGGAATCGAACCAGTGACCTCTTGATTTCTGGGTCAATGCTCAGCTGCTGAGTCACACTGGCCAGGCTGGTAATTATTTTTAAAAATTAGCATCCCACAAGAGTGGGTAAATGGCACATAATACCAGCCAATACAATGAGATTTCATTCTTACACTGCTCTACAAACAGCTTGGAGACAGACATTACCTCAAGGATGCTGACAACTATGTCCAAAGCCACATAGAGGATTTTAAGGAAGAGATCAACATAGAAGCAAAAGTAAAGAAATGTTGGGTGCGAGTGGCTTTGGGAAAGAGGAAGGGGTAAGGAGGAAGACCTGAAGCTACTTGAGTCCATGGCTTCAACTGACTCTGAGATTAGCACCATCCCCATTTTTCCATGGTTTGGTTATAAGCCAATAAATCCTCCTCTTATTACTTCAAGTTTGAGTTAGGTTTCCTTCACTTACAACTAATAAGTACATCCGTTAAAGGCAGGCGCTGTGTCTTATCTCTGTGTCCTCAGATCTAGTATAGTCCTTGCCACAGATTAAAGCAGGGGTCCTCAAACTTTTTAAACAGGGGGCCAGTTCACTGTCCCTCAGACCGTTGGAGGGCCGGACTATAGTTTAAAAAAAACTATGAACAAATTCCCATGCACACTGCACATATCTTATTTTGAAGTAAAAAAACAAAACGGGAACAAATACAGTATTTGTATTTGCATGTGGCCCGCAGGCCGTAGTTTGAGGACTCCTGGATTAAATGCTTAATAATTATGGGTTGAATAACGTTAAGTTTCTTATTTAGCAGTAGTGAATTGAAATTAGCCTTAAAAGTGATAAGGGCTGATTTTCTAAAAAGACATAACATTTTCAAAAGAAGCAGAAATATTTAACTCAGGATTCAACAGAGGTTAAAAGTTGGCACAAAAGTACCAAAGATATTCATGACTTCTACCATTTTGACACCATAGGAAAAAGCACACAGAGAAGAGTTCTGTGGTAGGCAGCTTCCCAAGAGCCAGCTGTGCCCTCCCCAACCTGTAGAAATTCCATATATCGAAGAACTAGAATGTAAATACTAACTATTAAATTTGATGCTATACTTTTCCCTTTCTTCTCACCTAGACATGATAAATCACTGAGGAAAGCAGACAAAAATCAACTTGCCTGATTTCTTCTTCTAATATTTTAAAACTTGAACTTAAGCAGTAAATTCTACATTCAATTATGAAGGAAAGGAAAAATTTGAGAAATATGTATAACATTCTGGAACTATATCAAGGTGTCATAGGCAAGTCTGACTAAGAATGTTGTGGTTTTAGCTCTTTAGGAAAAGTCTCTCTTTATAACAAATTTACTGTTTGACTTTTGCTGACAATTTTAGAAGCAGTATACAAAAAAGCAGAAAACTGCCTATATGTGTCCATACTGTTGTTTTTAGATAAGGGATCACACTGTTCACAGCTTAATTTAGCATACTCATTCTAAACTCTTCTCCATGTCAATTCAAGAATATCATTTTAAATATTTAATTATATGAATATGATAATTAACAGCCCACTAGATATTTAAATTGTTCTTAATTTTTCAGTATTATAAACTATACTCTGATGGAATATTCTTGTAGCTAAATCTTTGTTTGCACCCTTAATTATTTCCTTGGGATCTATTTTTAGAAATAAAATTTCTGGATATTGCTCTTATGACTTGGTTCTGAATTTGCTGGTATGGTTCAAGGAGCTGGAATATTTTTCAGACTGATTTTTTTCCCCGCTTCTCTTCCCTACATAAATACTAATGCTTGAAGAACTACTGAACTTACTCTCTTTATGAAGAGACTGAATTAATTTGCAATTAAAGTATACTTTCAATATTAAAAATGATAGAAACACAAGACATTAAAAAAGGCAAAAAATAAAAAAAAGCAAAACAAGAAGAATGAAGGTGAAGAATTAATTCAATATCCTGAAATGGAGTTCCAAGCTACAAAAGTCCATCATTTTTTAAATATTATCACTATCCAGAACTAGCCACCACTACCAGATTCCTACCTTCGGAAATGCTGGAGTCATGGAACATGGTTTCAAAAGCTTGATGTGTTTCAGCAAAAGAGGGCCTGTCAGCAGGGCTCCACTTCCAGCCTATGTAACAAAAGGAGGAAATGCTAAAGCCCCCGAAGGAATGAACACCCGTGCCGCGCCTGACAGCGAGTCCCCTGCATCAGGATGTGTGCCTCTTAAAGCAGAGCTGCAGCATGTTCACAGTGATAGTGAGGCCGCTGCCTCTCAGTTCCGCTCAGAGGATAATGAACCCACTTCCTCAGGCAAGTCCCTCTATGCAGCCTCCGCTCCTATTCCCTCTACACAGGGGTGAGGTGGGATGGGAGATAATTTAGAAAATGGCATGTTTTTTTCACTGGAAAAATAAAAGTTAAACCTGTCTTCAAACTCACTCTAACCTTAGAAACCATGAGCTGTACATATTCAGAAATATAACGGACTATCCGAAAGGAGGAGCTTGCAGTTCGTATTTGATGAAAACAGGACAGCAGGCAATGCCAATGCTCAATGAGAAAATAAGATTTATGCTCAAACACAACTGCACTTTACTACCACCTTCCATCTTCAAGGGGCTTTGTTTATTCATCACTGAGGTTACGTGCATCTAGTCTTTAGCAATCATTTCCATCTAGTTGAAAGCAGTCCTCCCCTACCTAACTCCAAACCCAATTTCTTATTATTCTATTTTAAAAATATTTTAATGGACTTTTAGAGAGAGGGAGGGAGAGAGGGGGGCGAGAGAAACATCAACTGGCTGCCTCCCACATGTGCCCTGACTGGGGATCAAACCCACAACCTGAATATGTGCCCTGACTGGGAATCGAGCCTGCCACCTCTGGTGTACAGGACGATTTTCTAACCAACTGAGCCACACGGGCCAGGGCTCTTATTATATTATCCTATTAAATGTGCAAGTGTTTCTGGGAAACTGACTCAACATTTCAGCCATGGACAATGATTCTTAGGATTCCAGTAAGATCAATGGTATAGCATATAACATGCCAACTGGCTAATCAATGACCACCTCTTTATATGCCATGTGGTTAGATTCAATCTAACAACATTACAAGGAAAAGTGTTCCTAATTTTGCTAATCATCCCCCAAACGCTGACTCAGACCCTTAAACTTAAAATATGCAAAAATACTCACATGCTCTCATAAGTTCATAAACCTTAGGGGGGCATCCTTCAGGCTGTTCCATTCGATATCCCTTTTCCAGTAGATCATAGACCTGAGACAGGTCAATACCTGGATATGGTGACATTCCATAGGTAGCAATTTCCCACAACAGTACCCCAAAAGCTGCATAAGGGACAAAAAAAAGAGCTTAATGTTTCTTCTCTGATTTATTATTATTTTACACCGCTAGGTAATTATCTTTCAAATTTTAGATAATATTCAATTACCAAAAGTATTCCTCCTATGATATCTGTCATGGGAACATTTGAGGTATGACCTGAAATACCAGGTATAAAGACGGCTTTCTTTGTATTTCCCACCTTTAATTTAGACTTCCTTTACTACAATGAAGGAAAATAAACTATGACCATTCAAGAAGTCTGGGGCATAATCAAACTATTCTTAGAATTATCTATAATCTAATTAATGAGTTTCACAGTTTTTATGTCAGCTAATATTAGAGGAGTAAATATAAAATTGAAATCAGATAAAATTCACAATAGAAAAAAGAATTTGCTTGATCTTGTCACAGGTTATTTCTGAGTTTGAGATTTCTGGTAAAGAGTGACTTAGAATCCTGCAATTATTTCTATTGGCTCACAATCCAAATTTCCAGACTGGTTCAGTCCACTGGGCTTGTACCAATTCATGGCAGTAGTTACCAGGATAAACCTAGCTGAAACTTCAGCATGCCTTCCTTGAAAAGAGGATACTATTCTGTGTCCCAGCGCTCTGGAAACAAGCTAATACCTAATGTGGAAAACAGGGAGCTTTAAAGGATCTTCAGAACTCCAATGCAACCTGAGAGTCTAGACCAGGCGTCCTCAAACTACGGGCCGCGGGCCACATGCGGCCCGCCGAAAACATTTATCCGGCGGGCCGGGTGTTTTTGCCACCACTGCCTGTCCTGCTTAGCAGCTGACTCGTCCCGGGCCCTCAGTGCACATGTGTGGAATGTCTGAAGGACAGTGAACTGGCCCCGTTTAAAAAGTTTGAGGACCTCTGGTCTAGACTGTGAGCTCTCTAAAGCAGGACTTCTTTTTATTTTCTTTACACTTCTTTCTATGCCAAGCACCTAGCACAATGCCTGATAATAGGTATTTAATAAATGCTTGCTGAATGATTGAAGAGATGGGGTTTAGGGTTAGGAGACTGATTATGTAAAAGATAAGCTCTAGAGAATGAAGAGCATTTATATAAAAAAATAACATCAGAAAAAAGCCCCTTCCAACCTTACCCCAGACATCAGATTTAATTGAGAAGGTATTGTAGGCAAGACTCTCTGGTGCTGTCCATTTAATAGGAAACTTGGCTCCAGCGTGAGCAGTGTAGGTGTCTCCAGTCATCAATCTACTTAAGCCGAAGTCAGCCACTTTTACCACATGGTTTTCTCCCACTAGGCAGTTCCGAGCTGCAAGATCTCTGCGGGAAAGAGAACCAACCCTAATGTGATTCTATTCAGATAAGGTGGAAAGTGACCATGAATGCTCTATTCTCAGTTCTTTGTGCCTCAAGCAGAGTTTATAAGTGCATAACAGATATAGTAGGTTTTTATGATAATCGCTAACATGATAGAAAATCACTAATTATGTATCACTTGTAGAGTACTTATCAAGAGGCAATTACATGATGCTGGAATAAAGCAGGCTTCAGAAAACAGGTTCCTATTCGTAAGTACAGTTGACACTTAATGCAGGGGTTAGAGGTACCCACCCTACCCCCACTACACACCCACATAGCCAAAAATCCATGTATACTTTTGACTCCCCAAAAATTCAGCTATTAAAAGTAGCTAACTACTGTTAGCTATGCATGTATTATAAACTGAATTCTTACAATAAAGATAGAGAGAAGAAAATCGTAAGGAAGAAAAAATACATTTATAGTTCTATATGTAGTTATTGAAAAAAATCTGTGTATAAGTGGACCCTTACAGTTCAAACTCATGTTGTTCCAGAGTCAACTGCACATTGAGATAGGTTTTAGAGATGCACATGGAGATAGGTTTTAGAGGTGCACAACAGATACTTGTCTCCAAGTGTTGAAGTTCTTTACTAAGACAGAAAGTTATTTTTTAAATAAGCTACTATATGGAGCCAAAGGCTATTGAATATAGTCCTGGGCAAAATAAAGACCTGTTTTGAGAACAGCAAAGGCCTCTCATTAACACTTTAATCAGAGCACATAGGTTTATAAGTTGGAAATGACATCATAATGGCCCAGTGAATGGGAAATTCCTTTCCTGAGTCATCTGGAAATTTCTGGAGAGGTTCTTGCCTTCTTCCCTTTATTTGCATGGCAAGCAAGGTAGCTTCCTGGTTAATCACAGACAATAGTCAGGTTTACACACCTATGGATGAAATTCTTCTTCTCTAAATACTCCATTGCCGAAGAGATCTGAGTGGCCATGTAAAGCAGTACAACTGCAGTCACCTCTTCTCGGTTGCATTCTCGGAGATAATCAAGGAGATTCCCATATGGCATGTATTCAGTCACAATGTAAAATGGTGGCTCCAAAGTACACACACCTTAGAATTCAAGAATAAAGTTTGTTTTATTAATCTATATTCAAACATTCCAAACAACTTTGACAAAATTAATCAACAATTTTAAAAAATCTTGTTTGTCAGTAATCTTTTCCCTTCTTGCCATCACATTCTCTGACAATAATATTGCCAAGTTAATGAGATGGTTGATAAGGGAGTCTCTACTTCTATTATATAATTCTGGAAATTCATATGCACTTGAGTATTTGCTGACGGCAAGAGCAGTGTTACTTATATTAATTCCGTAAGGGGTCAGAAGACCAAAATTTCTAGAGTTCTGTATATGCCCATGATTCCCAATCTCCACTAGGTGCTAATGATCTAATCTTATCTAATAAAGCAGGAATATGCAAATTGACCATCATGCCATAACGGTCAAGATGGCTGCACCCATATTGGAGGCAGGGATTCCATAACACAAGATGGCTGCACCCACAGCGGAGGCTGAGTCCCCGTAATGAGACTTAATGAGCAATCAGCAGGGACCTGAGGCGGCGTGGCACTGGGCCGGGGCAGGGGACCTAAGGCTGCACCCCCCGCCTGGTGGGGCTTGCCAGGGGACCTGAAGCTCACTCCCCCGCCCAGCGGGGCTTGACGAGGGACCTTAGGCCATGCCCCCTGCTCTGGTGCTGGGCCAGAGGACCTGAGGCCACACCCCCCGTGACTCTGGTTCCCGTGGCGCAGCCCAGACTCTGAAAGGAGGAAGATTTTCATATACGTTGTACTCATTTTCTTTCATCTCTGACACTATTATAGAGAAAGGGCAAATAGCAATATTAAAATATTTCCTCTAATTAATTCGCTTTTAATGTGCACGAATTTCATGCACCAGGTCACTAGTCTAAAATAACTACAACTGTGCATATGTTGAAGACTATGTGAGCCCAGCCTGTAGTAATACTTTGTAAAAAGATTATAATTGTTTCCATAGTCAAATACATGGCAGATTCCTTGTAAAGAATCAACAAGAAACTATTTCCTTTGGGATAGTTGGGTTCAATTTGAACACCCAAAGAATGTGGCCCAATTTTGAAAAGGGCAAAGGGTTCAGACACAGACTTCTTTGTGACCTGAACAGGTGAGAAATCAATCTACCAGAGCATAGAATTTTCAGTTGATCAAGGTAAATTGATGAGTGTGGTCACAATTTTTAATCTGCTTCTTTTCAACAGTCCTTTTTTTAGTGTCTACTTTGTGAGATTATTTTGTGATTTTGTAATTTTCTTTTTGGTTAATTCTCACCCAAGGATACTTTTTCCCATTGATTTTTAAAGAGAGTGGAAGGGAGAGGGAGAGACAGAGAGAAAAACATAGAAGTGAGAGAGACACATCAACTGGTTGCCTCCCACACATGCCCCAACTGGGGTGGGGATTGAGCCTATAACCAAGGTACATGCCCTTGACCAGAATCAAACCCTTAACCCTTCAGTCCGAGGGCCAATGCTCTAACCATTGAGAAAAAACGGCCAGGGCTTATGAAAGTTTTTTTATTTGGAATTATTTTAAATGATTCTGAACTTTGAATCTGGGGCAATCACCACAAACAGGGTAGTTTTACACATTGCAATCAATCCAGGCCACTGTTTCTTAGGCAACTTTTAAACACAGAGCCCGTTGATTAAAATAACAACCATTTATTGAAGTAGATTCACACCTGGAGCTTCCACCATGGTGATTTAAGGGAGGATTTGGAGATAATGGGGTTTTGGGGGACAAGCAGCTTTGAGGAAACCTATAGTTTAGGCAAGCTTCCTCACCTAATAACTGTACCAGATTAGGATGTTTGATTTCCTTCATCACTGCAGCTTCTTTCAGGAACTCCTCCACCTCCATGGTATCTTCCTGGAAAAGGAGGAACAATAAAAAGAAAGAGAGAAGAGCAATATTTATTTATTTCAGAGTGAACCCCCTTCTTAACTATTTGAATCAACTCACAATCCTAGAACTTCAGCTTTGGTGGGGGGAAGGGGGGAAATTTGTTGTTGTTGTTGTTAATCCTCACTGAGGATATTTTTTTCCACTGATTTTTAGAGAGAGTGGGAGGGAGGGAAGGGATGTAAGAGAAAAACACTGATGTGAGAGACACATAAATTGGCTGCCTCCTACATGCACACAACTGGGGCCTTGGATAGAACCCTCAACCCAGGTACATGCCCTTGACTGGGAATCAAACCCATGACCCTTCAATACAAAGACCAATACTCTAACCACTGTACCCACCGGCCAGGGTGAAAAACTTCAGCTTTAAAAAATGGTATCTTTTGAGTATTTTAACAGATACATTGAAATCTTATCATAACCTAATATGCTCTACAGAAGTCCAATTAAGAAAGAAAAATATTGTTAAATTTATCCAGTATTTAAAATGAGTAAAAATTAGCAGGGTGAGCAAAATTCAGCAAGCACATCCTATCACAGCTGAAGCACACACAGGAGACCTAGATAACTCAGTTTTCTGACCATTTATGTCCCAAGAAAACTCAGCTTTCAAAGAGGAGACAATAGTTAGTGGTTTACCTGTTTGTTTTCCTGACAAATTCTTTAAGGAGCAATACATGCTTCCAAGGCCTTAAATATTGTTTCATACTCAAAATATGCTTAATAAACGCTTGCTGAAAAGAACTGACCACGACTCAGAGCTGAAGAGCAGCCCTTATGAGTGATGTGGCAGAGCCACTGAGGCACACGGGAGAATCTTCAGAGAACGGGATGAGAGTGCGAACCCTGCAATCTGATAGGATGCTTAAAGAGGGGAGCTGGTGCAGGGAAAAAGACTTCTGTGAATATTAAGAACAAGTAGTAGTCTATTCTCTTGGGGAAGAGAGGGAGAGAAAGGGAGAGAGGGGAAGAGAGGGGGAAAGAGAGGGAGGGGGGGAGGGAAGAGCAAACCAGAGAGAGTACCCATGATCCTCAGACAATGCATGAAGAATTCTGTCCAGCAGGGGTCGTGCTGAGGAAGCAAAACAAGCTGTTTCGCTTTATAACTAGTAATTTGCTTCTAACCTCCCACTAAGATCTCCATCAACAGCCTCCAGAGACAAACATTCCCCACATGTGGGTTTCACTGCACTGCAATGAATAATCTTCCTCCGCACTGTCAGCAATGGCACTAGGGTTGATCATCACCATGTGCTGATCAGGGTGGCAACAGTGGGTGGAAAGTGTTCCCCAGTTAAAGAGGGGCGGGGCATGCTGGTATTTCCAAGTGATTCGGCACAAAGAAGAAGATGCCCACGCACTGTAATTCTCAGCAACCCACCTTCAATGTTTTCACAGCAACCGTCAGGCTGTATTTCTTCCAGACGCCAACGTAAACCTCTCCATACTGACCACCCCCAAGCTTGTGCTTCATGGTAATATCTGTTCGTTCCATTTCCCATTTGTCATGGATGGGGGACACACCGTAAACTGTAGGCTTGTTACACTTGGGTGCGGGGTAGTGCAATGTTGTCACCAGCCCATCAGCCACTGTGGAGTGATGGTGGACAAGCTCTGCTAAGGTGCTGAAGCGGCTCTCAGCGGTCACATATACCTGATGAGAAAGGCAGGAGAAAAGCTAAGTCAACTTGAAAAGAGATCAAAAATAATTTTTTTAAGTCCTCACCCAAGGAAATGTTTATTCACTTTTTTTAGAGAGAGTGGAAGGGAGAAGGAGAGAGAAACATCAATTGGTTGCCTCCTACATGCGCCCCAACCAGGGATTGAAACTGCAACCTAGGTATGTGCCCTGTCCAGGAATTGAACCCCCAACCTTTGGTGTACAGGACAATGCTCCAATTAACTGAGCCACCTGGCCAGGGCGAGAAATTTTTTTTAAAGTAGGCATGAACTGAATACTTGCATTTTGAAATTTTTGTGGAAATTTAATATCAATCTTGGAATCTATTTCTGAGTTTCTGGCTGGAGGTCTAAGTTTTAATTAGAAAGGGCAAAGAGGCCAAGCCACACAGTTGCCATCAGGCTTTGCCTATAATACCTAGAGCAGTGGTCAGCAAACTCATTAGTCAACAGAGCCAAATATCTATAGTACAACAATTGAAATTTCTTTTGAGAGCCAAATTTTTTAAACTTAAACTATATAGGTAGGTACATTGTTATTAACTTAATTAGGTACTCGTAAGGCTTAGGAAGAGCCACACTCAAGGGGCCAAAGAGCCGCATGTGGCTCGCAAGCCGCAGTTTGCCGACCACAGGTCTAGACCATTTAAAAAAGAGTCACAATTTTATTTCAGAGGGTCTATTAACAAAACAGTAGTTAATCTGTGATAGGCAGTAAGTGTAAAGTAATATAGTAGTCTTTGGGCCTTACTGTATACAGAAAAGTGTGCAATAAATGGAGAATTACTGATTTTTATAAAATGAACTCACATCTCCCACACCAAGAATTTTAACATCACCAGCACCCCAGCAGTTTCTCCTGTGCCCTCCCATCTTTATACCCCTGTAAAGATGACCATTTTGCTGACTTCTATTTAGCACCTTAGATTACCTTTGCCTGCCTCTTAACTCTATACAAATGGAATCATACAATACATACTGTTTTCTTTCACTCAATTTTTTTCAAGTTTAATTTTTAATTTATTAGAACCCACTAAGTGATGACTTTAAAAGTTTTCATCAAGTTAACACTTAATTCAGGCAAAAATACATTCAAGAAACTTAAATCTTAAGGCAGAAAACATGGTAAGACCAGCATGTCTAATACAGACTGTAGAATGTCAGAATTTTAAGAGATTTACATAGTATTTTTATAGTGTTAAAATGTTAATAAAGTCAAAAATATTGTCTATTTATCCAAGATTCTGTTTATAAAATGTCTAGATTGCTCAACTTTTTTATTGTGATATAATTCACATACCATAAAATTTACCATTTTCAAGTGTACAATTCAGTGGTTTTAGTATATTCAACAAGGCTGTCCAACCATCACCACTATCTAACTCTACAACGTTTTCCTCATCCCACAAAGAAACCCATACCCCCTAGTAGTCATTCCCTCTGCTCCACTCCTTTCCCAGACAACCACTGACCCCTTTTGCTCCATTTTATTTGTGAGGTTCCTCTATGGCAGGGATCAGCAACTTTTCTGTGAAGGGGCAAACAGAAAATATTTTAGGCTTGTAGCCATAGCACCTCTGTTGAAACTACTCAAATTTGCTGTAATAATGAGAAAGCAGCCATGGACAGTACATAAATAAATGGGTGTGGCTACATTCCAATAAAATTTTATTTTAAAAACAGGGAGCTGGCGGGCCATAGTTTTCCTGAAGGTTGCGTATCAGTACTATGGTCATCTTTGTTGTTACATGAGATCGCATTTTACAATTTATTAGTTCATTCCACTATTGTTATAGTTAGGAAAGTCTAGTTTAGGGCTATTTCAACTGACGCTGCTATGAACATTCCTGTGCATGCCTTCTGTACACATATGCACTCATTTCTGTTGGGTATATAACCAGAAGAAGAGCTGTCTCTTGTATATTATTACTTATCTGCTTCTATTTGGTTTCATCAAGAGACAATATAAGACAGTGTGAAAGAGAAAGAGAATTCCTAATTTTCTTATTTCCTACTTTATACCAGCCATTATGCTTTATGGAAATTATTTCATTTAATCCTCATAAGAATGCAATAAAGTGAGATGGGAACTTGAGGCTTATGTAAATCACAAAGTTATAAATAAATGGTGGAGTTACACAGCAAACCAGGACCTACTTGCTCCAGAGCCTGTGCTTTTCCCCTAGTATGCATATCCCCGAGAGGAAAAGAATGGAAGGAATGATTCAATTTACATTTACTGTTCAATAGAGGAACTAACATATGCCTATGCTTTACAGTTTATAAAGTGAAACCGTTACATTCTAAAACAACCATTCTAAACTGGTTGGTCTCTCCAACATGTAAACTGCTAAGTGATTCATCTACTTCTATTAACACTAGTGGCCTGGTGCATGGATACGTGCACACTGAAAGGAAATTAATTAGAAAGATTCATGCAGTAATTACATTACTGCAAAAAATTATATGTCAAAATAATGTATATAATATATTATAAAATTAAAACATGCGTGCAATTGGTGCCAGCGAGAACTTTATATGTATAGCGCATGTGCGAGTCAACATTTATTTTTAAATTGCCAATGCATGTCATATGTACCGGCCGAATGGTCAGTTGGTCAGACAGTAAGTAGGTCAGATGGTCAGATGGACAGTCGGTCACTTAGCCTTTTATATATACATACACACGTACACATATACAGAGAGATATATTAATGATCAACAACAGTCTTAGAAGCCTAAATTCTTTTTTTTTTTTAATATATTTTATTGATTTTTTTACAGAGAGGAAGGGAGAGAGATAGAGAGTTAGAAACATTGATGAGAGAGAAACATCGATCAGCTGCCTCCTGCACATCTCCCACTGGGGATGTGCCCACAACTCAGGTACATGCCCTTGACCGGAATCGAACCCGGGACCCTTGAGTCCGCAGGCTGACGCTCTATCCACTGAGCCAAACCGGTTTCGGCGGAAGCCTAAATTCTTACTCTGTTAACTTTCTTGTAGAGTTTATTATAATTTTTGGATGTAAAATTTAACTTATAAATTCTATACAGCCCTCGCCAGTTTGGCACAGTGGATAGAGCGTTGGCCTGTGGACTGAAAGGTCCCAGTTCGATTCCAGTCAGGGGCGCATGCCTGGGTTGCAGGCTCCATCCAACATGAAGGAGGCAGCCAATCAATGACTCCCTCTCATCATTGATGTTTCTATCTCTCCCTTCCTCTCTGAAATCAATAAAAATATATTTAAAAAATTTTATACCATGCATTAGATGTATGTCTATTTACATATTAACAATCATTAGAACAGCTAACTTATCCAGCAATTTCCTTCATTCTTCACATTTAGTTCATCATTAAACTTCTATTATAATACTGTTTTAAATTTCCATTACCATATTCTTTTGAAAAAAGTAAGCTCTCTTTAACATGCCAAACAGCCCAAACTCACATCAGTGATTATTTTCTTTTGTCAGACATAAAAACTATATTCTTCAGTCATTCTGAATAAAATTTCTAAGGAGCAGCCCATCCACACCTAAAGGTGGTCGCCAGTCTTACCTTGCCATCTGTGGTGGTATTGATCCTGTAGTGATACACGCGCCCCTCGTACCTGAGCGAAATGGACAGCTGCCCGGGGCTGCTCTCACTTTCTCGCACCAGGAAACTGCCATTGATTAAACTGCTGAGTAGATACTCAGCTGCACTGCGTGACACAGGTCCATGGTACCAGGAATGTTTTTCCAGACTGTTTACTGGGGTGATGTAGTTGCTTGGCACCCAACCTTGGCCATTCTTAGAGCGAACTTCACTCCACTCACCATTCTGATTGTAACCAAGGACTCGTAGCTTTTCACCTAGTCATAAGGTTATCACAGAATGAGATGTTAACACTTTGTCTCAAAAGCAATCTATTATCAAACTTTAAACTCATTGAAAAATAAATCAGGAACTTTTATGCCAACAAATGTGTTTTTAAATAATGAAAACAGCCCTAGCCGGTTTGGCTCAGTGGATAAAGCGCCAGCCTGTAGACTTCAGGGTCCCAGGTTCGATTCCAGTTAAGAAAGGGCACATGCACAGGAGGCAGCCAATCAGTGATTCTGTCTCATCACTGATGTTTCTATCTCTCCCTTCCTCTCTGAAATCAATAAAAATATTTTAAAAATAATAATGAAAACAAACTTGGCTGTTCATCATATCCTCCACTGATTTATTTAACTTGTAGCTTAAACAAAAGAAGCATAGTTAAACGTGGCATTTTGGCATTTACTACAGGTTTTCAAAGGTTTTTATACCAACTAAAAATGTCTTTAGAAAACTCCATGTATACAAAGATAAAAAGATTACTCAAATGGCTGGAAACGACATAGTCTCACCCTTCAAAAACATTTTTTTGTTCACTTTTTCTTCCCAAAACAGTTAGTCAAGGAATGTATCTTATATGGTTCAATGTTAATAAGCAGTCAAGGATTAATAAGCTATGGGAAACCCAACATTACTTCTAAATTTCACATGGCACCAAGGCAAAAAAACCAACAATGTAAAAAAAAAAAAGCACCGACCACCGAGGTTTCAGCAATGTTTTCAGAAAGAAAATTGTTTGGGGGATGGGAAGTGAGTAGTGAGGACTCTCAAAGCACTATCTTTTCCAAGACTCAAGTTTTAAATAGATATAGTTTCCCAGTTTCCCTCCCATTCCCCATGAAGAATGAGTCACTCCTATCCATTCCTCTAAAATTAGTGTGTGGGAAAGGAAGCTGAGTCTGATGTTGGAACCCAAGATTCAAGTTACTCAAAGTATCTTTTGCTAATGACTTCCGTGTACTTGATTGCTCCATTAAAGTTGTAAACATCAACTTCAGACCCAGCAACATATACCTTGCTCCTATACTCGCAGCATGGACAAGACAGAAAAGCAAATGAGATATCATTAGTAATAACTGACCACCTAAACAATCCTTCCAATTTAGGCCCCTCACGCTGAGGGATGCAGCCTTCCTATAGAGTTCACACCCACTTCTCAGTGTCAGAAAGCGGAAAAACGCCAAATCAATCAAGAGCATATGGTCCAGTTATCAGGCAAAGGCGAATGAGGAAAAACTCAGAATCATTATTATGACAGTTATCTAACTTTTCTAAGTGGTTTACAGAAATGTCTACCACAGGATAACTTCCTATTGGCTCTTACTATCTCTCACCCAAGAGACTTGGATATGAGACATTCAGTGAGAAAAAACACAGGAGTATGGATTCATATGCATTTTGTATATATAAAAAATATACATATGTATAAATAGGAGTGTGGTGGTGGAAACGCACAGGGAAAAAATCTTAGTACTGCTAGAGAAACAAAATAAAACTTGCGCTGTAGCTTTTCTCTTTTACTCCCTGAGAACTAGAAAAGATAAAACACTAAGTATCTTACTAAGCATATTATTATTGCTTCCTTATAAAGAACTAGTAATGATCGGTAATCAAATTAGGCTACAGTGAAACACCCTAGGTTTTTGTCTGATTTCCCCTCTTCTTGGCAGTTAGGAGAAGAATTTTCTACTCTGGAAGGAAACTGACAGGGGTATAAGCTGGTAGGGATACAAAACATTACCCTATTGATAGAGCAATCCTGGTAGAACTTTGGTTCTTACTTCAAGCAAATTACTATCTTCAAACAAAGGGAAGTAAAATAATAATTATTTTTTAAATACATTTTCTTATATTTAAAATAATTAAAAAGCTTTAGCATAACTTTATATTAGTAAGGACCTGATATAAAAATCTGGCATTTCATTGGTTTTATGAGAAATCCCTGCTGGCCATAAGGTAAAGGGAATCCTATTCCTTGAGCTGTACACTAGTGGTTGCCACAGCTGGTAACTGAAGATTCAATAAACTTTATCAATGTTTCCTCAGTGACTGAGCTATCTTGGAAAATACTGACATGCAAATTATATCTAGGAAAGACTGTTCTGAGTCACAGCTTCACAAACTTCTCCACTGACGTATCAGTAAAGGTATCAGAATCTATTGTAACTCAAAAAGACAACCACAAGAATAAATTTCTATGAAGTCCTTTATTTTATCCTAAAACTTTCATCCCAATGCATAAACACACATCTCTCACACATCCATCCCACCCCCAAAACTACCCAAAATCTTTAAGTAAACTGACACGAGGAATAATGCACTTTACTTTTCTTGTGCCTTTGGAACCTCCTGGCTCATGCACACATGCCATCACACACACTCTGGGACATATTAATACCCCAGTTTGAGAAACTCAGGGTTTTTTTGTTTGTTTTATTTAAAAATATTTTTATTTATTTCAGAGAGGAAGGGAGAAGGGGGAGATACAAACATCAATGATGAGAGAGAATCATTGATCGGCTGCCTTGTGCACGCCCCGTATTGGGGATCAAGCCCGCAACCCGGGCATGTGCCCTTGACCAGAATCAAACCTGGGGCCCTTCATTCAGTCTGCAGACCAATGTTCTATCCACTAAGTCAAATCAGCTAAGGTGAGAAACTCAGTTTTTAGCATTTCTGCTTTTGATGAATCTGGCCAAATTTCAAAAACTGATATATATAAAAATTTTATGTAAAGGTAACATTCCTTGAATGGAGGCTTATGTCCTTAATTTGGTATGTCCACTCCCAATTAATATCTACCTCATTCTGAACGTAACAAATGAAAGGAATATATTTGGCCCAGCTGGTGTGGCTCAGTGTTTGAGAGTCAACCTATGAACCAGGAGGTCACAGTTCGATTCCTGGTCAGAGCACATGCCTGGGTTGCAGGCTTGACTCTCAGGAGGATCCCCAGGAGGCAGCCAATCAATGATTCTCACTCATCATTTATGTTTCTCTCTCCCTCTCCCTTCCTCTCTGAAATCAATAAAAATATATATTTTTTAAAAGGCATATATTTGACAAATAATTACTTAACATGACAGTTTTGTGGAGTGAAAAATTCTCCTGAAATATATTTTTCCCCAGTAAGTTCAAAAGACAAGAACTTAGGCAAATTAGCAATCCAATTCATGCACACAATGACAACCTCCCATTCTTCTATTTCTTTCTCATAAAAGTTTCATATTTTCTATCCTTGTTCAAAAAACCAATAATGGATGATTTTATTTGGTCATGTTCTTAGTGTTCCCTTTTATAAGAATTTACTACCGAAATAAACTAATCTGAGAATATTACTACAATGAACACTTCGTACTGTTCCTTATAAACTGATCCATATAAACACAAATGAGAGATAAATTGCCTAGGCCAGTGGTCGGCAAACTCATTAGTCAACAGAGCCAAATATCAACAGCACTCCTAAACTGGCCTTAGCTAAAAACGTCCTCAATCTGAGGGGTCAACTTCAGGGAACGTACCCCCACTTCTTCTAACGCCACTTCTTCAAAATAGACTCGCCCAGGCCGAAAAGCTACTTCTGCCAATGGGCCACGAAGTTTCAATCGCACTGTACGTGCGCACATGCACGTGGTATTTTGTGGAAGAGCCACACTCAAGGGGCCAAAGAGCCGCATGTGGCTCGCGAGCTGCGGTTTGCCGACCACTGGCCTAGGCCAGTGCTGCTCACGGCAAGTCCACAATAAGATAAGAGGCTTATGCCAGACTGAATCACTAGACTACTTTCTTCATGCCAAAAGTCTTGCTCAAAAAAAAAAAAAAAGTCAGCTGAACTAAATAATAGTGTACTTGGTGATGTAGTTGGTTTGCATTTTGGGTACAATTTTTAATCTCATTGCAAACTGATAACAAACAGTTCTCAGACACGCAGTCAGTCACGGACAACATGATTCAATCAATGAGAAGAGATGTACAGTGAACCCTACCTCTGCAGCAGATGAATGCTGGCATATTACATATAATATAAATTCTGAGAATAAGGAAAGTTTATGTGTATATTGTATGGTGTTTTTTCTAAAATACTTTATCTCATTTTATCCTTAATAAGCCTATAAAGTAGACAAAGTGGCATTACCCCATACACAAGTTAAAAAAAAAAATTATACCCTGGCCGGTGTTGCTAGGTGGTTTGAGTTCCACCCTGTGCACTGAAGGGTCTGGGGTTCGATTCCCAGTTAGGTCACATACCTGGGTTTCAGGTTCGAGCCCCAGAAGGGTGCATGCACATAAGGCAACTGATCGATGTTTCTTTCTTTTTTCTCTCTCTCTCCCTCTACCCTCACGCACTCCCTCTCTCTCCTCTTCTCTCTAGAATCAATGAAAAACATATTCTCACTTTTTAAAAACAGACAATTATGAACCAAAAGCATCTGGGCCCAGATCACCTAGCTAATTTTAGGGGCAAAATCTAGAACAGACCCCTTTATCTCCTATCCACTAATGAAAACTGAAAAGTAAGGGGTATTACTCAGAAGCTCACCTTTAGTGATGCTGAGTGTGTTATCACCACTTGCTACAAAATCATAAAGTGCAACAAAGAGATTAGGATCACTCTCAGTGGCTCCCAGCAAGTTTTCCTTGGAACTCCACCTGATGGCCTCGGTCAGTGCTTGGGGTTCAACATCACAACCATAGGGGCGGTGCAAGGCTTCTGAAAGACATAAGAGGAAAAAGAAATTCACAGTAAGTTCATGTGAAATTCACAGCTGGAAATTCATTTGAATTCAGTAAGTAGGCAGTATTTTAGCTGTTGGCATAGATGGACGGCTCCAGGGAGGGACATAACTATATAGTTGTAGAATAATGAAGAATGAGCAAATGTCCCCTAAACCCGAGAGAAATCTACTTGTTGAAAATGTAACAAGATAGAGAAAAGACAAAATGAAAAGAACACAGTTAACTGTGATTTATATGCAGTCACCTAAATCAGAAATTAACAGGAAAAGCAGTTTTCTCAAAACGGAAAGAAGAAATCTCAAGAAGAACTGGCAATTTGCTTTATAAAAATACAATATTTTGTTATGGTGGAGTGGTGGTTTTAAGGAATAGTTATGTTTTATAAATCCTCCCAAACTCCCCTCCTTCCCTTACTCTGTCCATATAAAGCAAATTGTGAAAAAGATAACAGATTTTAAGAAATATGTACATATTGTGTAAATCCAGATCCTCCATTTACATGTAAAAATAGTGCTTCTAGAAAAAACAATCCTAAAATTACCTGTCAAACAACAGAAAAATGTTTTGGTTTCAAACAATATTCTCACCATTCCAAAATAATTTTGTGTTACCATGCAACGCTGTCTATAATAGTTTACAATTGTTCTTTTAATGAAAAAAATTCTACCCTATTTTCTTTTCCTTGGTGATACGTTTTTGTAAAATAGGAACTTAAATGAATGCTCTAGAAAATATCACCAACAATGTACATTTATTGAGTTTCTGTCGTGTGTAATGGTGAAAGCCTTGTAAGACCTGGTTTCTTCCTCAAGGCTTTATGGTTCTTAAGTTTAGTCATACTATACAAAACATCTTTTTACAGCCCAGGTCAATTATACAAAAAATACTCTGTTCTTCTAGTAGCAATTTTCTTAAGAAATGGAATTATTTTTAGCAGCTATGTGCCACTAACTTTTCTATTATGTCTCTCTTTCTCCTCCAATCATTTTTAATTTAAAACTGGTTTTTATCATATTTACAGGAGAATAAGCCTTTAATCTGTGGTTTTATTTCTTTTCAAATCCATTCCCTCCTCTCCATCTCTATAGCCAATGCCTTAGTTCAAATCCCCATCGTCTCTCACCTGGACTACTGCCTCCAGTCTTGTCTCCCTCAAATCCATCCTCCACACAGCTGGCAAAGTGATCTATTCAAAACAAAAATTTGACCATGTCACTCTTCTTAAGATTATTCTTCAATAGTTTACCATCAAGCTAAAATCTCTTTAATATGGTCTTCAAGGGCTTTAAGATCAGGTCTCTTATTTCTCTAGCTTTACCTCCATCCACTCCACATCTCAAATTTTAAATGTTAACATACACTGTGATGCTTCCTATCTTTTTGCCTTTGTTCACACTGTCCTGTCTATCTGGAATGTGGTCTCATTCCACACTTTTCTTGACTGGCTGACTCATTTCATAACACTCAGCTCCAATAACCTCCCCTAAGAAACCTCATAGATTCCTCCTCCTAGTGCTCTCAAAAAAACATTGTGTTTGCTGTATTAATACCTTCTATCTTTATTTTTACTATATCCTCAATTCATGTTTGTCTCCCAAACCTTACAAAGTATTCCTTGGCATAAGAATGGCACTTTTTCTTTCTAGCAAGGAGTTATATGTGTTCAATAACTGTTGATTGAATGAATGACCAAATTACACAAAAACATAAGTGACAGAAAACAATGGCATGTATTTTAATATTAAAATAGCATTAATCAATGTTTTAAAAATGGCTGCATCACTGTCTATACATGAAATAGACAAAAATCCCTGTTGTAGGCTGATCTGTAATTCTTAACAGTTTTAGAGTTTATTTCACTTCATCACATTCCTTCTTCTCTTAAAAGAAATATGTACTTAAAATTCCACAGCTAATTAAATTTTATTTTAAATTTAGAATAATTATGACAAACCTAAAGATATGTCCAGATGTCCTGACAATTAATTTGAAACAAATCTGTTGCTCTTTGTTTAAAGGCAGAGTTATAGTGACTGGGAATTAGAATTATAAAATGAACAAAACACTGTATTATATGAAACATCCTTTAAACTGGCCACATGTTCTATGTTATTATTTATTCTAATGAAAAATTATCTACTTTAGCAGAATTTCCATTGGGTTATGAAATGACAACCCTTTATTAACATAAAAAGAAGTACAAAGAATATTCACAATATTTATGAGGTTCCATACTAAACATAACATGATCCACACTGATGTTTCTTGCCAGTGATGGCAGTAACATGATTATTACTCTGTTTAATGTTTATCAAACAATTCAAGTACATTTCCTTCTTTTTAAGTATAAGTACCCTTGTTTGAAATTATAAGAGGAACAAAAATCAAGGGTAGCTTAACTTCTGTATTATCCACTAAAGGTCCGATGCACAAAACTTGTGCAACAGTAGGCCCTCGTGGCCCTGGCTTTGTTCAGAAGGTCATCTGCAAGGTCGTCTGGACGGTAGTTCTGTTTGGCTGCTCGGTTGATTTGCATATTATACTTTTATTATTATAGATGACCAAGTTAGAAACAGTAATCAAGTAGACACTAAAACCAACTCTTAAACCAACTCAAAAACAGCAAAAACCATACATTTATATCTTACTTTGTGAAACACAGTATATTATAATTTAAAGTTTACAAAATTAATAATTATAGTGAACATCTATTTGTTAATGAACACCTACTATTCAATAGCCTTACGCTGAGCTTCAGAATATAAAGATTATAGACCACTATTTGGACTATAAAAAACTACTCTCCACTCCCTCCCCCAAATCTGCTTCTCCACAGAATTCCCCATCACAGTTTATGGCAATTTCAACTTTTTAATTGCTCAGACCAAAAACCATGAAAGCTTGAGTACAAACTTCTAGCTATAAGATGAGTAAGTTCTGGGGGTCTAATGTACAGCATAGTGATTATAGTTAATAATACTGTACTATATACTTGAAAGTTACTGAGAGTAGATCTTAAATGTTTTCACCACAAAAAAAGAAATGGTAATTATGTGATGTAATGTGTGTATTAGCTAAGGCTCTTGTGGTAATCATTTTGCAATACACAAGTGTATCAAATCAACACATCATAAACCTTAAACTTAC